AATTTCTTCAATTCATCCCTCCACATATTTTATAATGTGTAGCAAGGGAAAGCATCAAGGATCTTTTACTGAATGTCTGGCCTCATCTTTTTGCGGGCTCTACTCTGGTCAAAACACTAGGGCACAGGCTGCATTTTTGACAGCTTATGAAGAAGAATCCCATTTTTGTTGGTTTCTAGAACCATCTCTTTGCTCCTGCTGAGTTCTTAACAGAATAACTCATTAATGCTCACATTTCAGCTCTGTTCAATATAACATTTATTTTCTGAGATATCAAGAGACTGCCCTACACCGTCTCTTTTCTTTCTTAACATTCTAGAATCACCGTTAACAGCCATATTACAGCAAATAGATGCCCCTGCCAGTTGGCTCTTCCCAGCCCACATCTTAGAGCTCTGGCATCATCCATCCTCCATCATCCATTCCAGAGCTTTCCTCACACATCTCAGTGTTTGTCTCAATGGCATTCCACTTCTAGTATTTAGACAACTAAGCCTCCTTATAGCAAAATACCACTGACTGGGCGGGTTAGACCATGGAGACTTAGTTCTAGAGACTAAATGGTCAAAATGATAGCAAATTTGGGTTGCTTAAGGGGCCTTTCTGGCTTATAAACACACACCTTTCTGTGTCCTCAAATGGGTGGCTATTCTGGGTATGTGTCTAGAGAGGGTTTTTGTGTTCCTTTCATAAGGGCAATAACCCTGAAGGATCACAGCCACACCTTGGGATCCTCTTTAACTTTGATTACTTTACTTAGAGGCCCCATCTTCAAAAGCCATCACGCAGCAGGTTTGGGTTTCAAGATATGAATTTTGGAAGGACACAAATATTAACGCACAACAAAGACCATCAGGAAAAAGGTAATCCTTCAATGAGAACAGAAAAATGACACAGCTTAGTTTAATAATTGTTCACATCAGTCCTAATTATCCAAAATCATTAACAGTCTCAAGGTAACCTGATTTTCATATGCTAATGGATGTTGTATTCCCAAGTTCTGGGTCCCAGGTCGTACCTAGTGATGTCAAGGTGTGTTGTATTTGTACATCTGGGATTAACATGAAGCAGAGGAGCCTGTTCAGTTCAAGTAAACATGGTGGCCTGGACTGACCTTGGGCAGGAACTCTGGGATGGCCAGAAGTGTGTGTGGAGGTATGGCAGCCTGAGGAAAAAACAAAACAAATGAGCCAAAGGTCCCAGACACCATCCCAGGTGTGTATGGACCATGGAGGGGGGGGGACAGCAACAGCAGCAGAAGCCCAGCCATGAAAAACTCTCTAGGTTTTCATGAGAGGTGAAGCTAGGCCTCTCTGTCTCTTTTTGTTTTGGTTTTTAGAATTATCTCTCCTTTGTGTGGCTCTCCACACAAAAAAAACACATTTGCTTTCCTGATGGGTGTTGTCATCCTAGTGACTCATTGGATAGATGTTGCCCATGGGCCAGGCCTGGGCATGATTTTTACTGTCAGTGCCTGAGAATCTCTATTCCTAGTAGGTCTTCCTGGGCCTTGTCCTGGTGACAGCAAGGAGTCCCTGGGGAGGCACGGAACAAGCCAACCTATGATGCTTCTACACTGTACTAATGGCGCCAGGGTGTCTTGGACTTTTCTCGTTGGTTCTCAGTGCTATGTATCCAGAGATCCAGCCTAGTGTGAGCATGGGAGGAACCAACTCTGCTCCCTGCCCTGTAAAAGGACAAGATGGTCTCTTCTAAACACTCCCCAACTTTTTTCTTCACCCAAATTTCCCCTTTTGTGGATAGCAAAATTTATAAAAGTGGAAAATCCCAGCCCTGACCATTACCCACATAAGACGGTGGAAGTAAAGAACTGTGAAAATGTGAGGCCTCGCACACACACAGATGAATAACTGAAATAGTCCACTGCCTCGTACACACACAGATGAATAACTGAAATAGTCCACTGCCTTTTAACAACCCATGAAAGGCAACCCCAGATGTTCCAAACAGATTCTCATGCCACTGTCACCCTCTGAGTTTGGAGTTTCCAGTTCATGTCCTTTTTCAGGGGTGATGTTTTATAGCAATGTTAATGAAATTAGCTCATTCATTTGGGTCAACAAGCATAAACTAAAATCCAATTTTCGTAGCTTCACTTTTGTTTCCAGCCACACAGTTGGAAATGAGTTCAGGAAATTTTTTAGAATCCTTTCTCTATGTACAGCTTAAAGGGAATCATAGAATTCAGAAGCTTTGGTGAGAAGTGTGTAGTATAGAAATTCAAAAGGTTGTTTTCTTGCCCCCAGAAGCCACAGTGCTCCCAGGAAGCCTGTGGACCCTGAGAATTCACTTCATTCAGCACGGTGGATCCTCAGGCTGCAGTGATGTGGGGGCTGGCCAGCCACAAAGTACTGCTGCTTCATCCACAGAACCTTAAAAATGGTGACGAGACTGGCAGACCACTTCACTTGTAAGTTAGCACCTGGGCATTTACACGGACTCTTGGACTGTCTTTGGAATCAGCCAGAAACATTAGGAGCAGATCTGTGGGCCAACCAGCTCTGGCCTGGCTGGGTACATCTAGACCTGTCCAGGGAAGAAGTGAGTTGGCCTTGTTCTCTGATCTAATTAGCTTTACCTGTCAATTTGACACATCCTAGAGTCATCTGAAAAGAAAGCCTCGGTTGTCAGATTGGCCAGCGGGCATATCTGTGAGGGATCCTCGTGATTGTTAACTATATTGAGAGGACAAGCCCACTGTGGCTGGTACCATCACTAGGCTGATGATCCTGAAGTGTACACTAGCTGAGTACAGGCCAGTCTTCAAGCCAGCCATCCAGCAGCATCCTCCATGATTCCTACCATGCTTCCTTGGCTGTAAAATGAGTTGCTTGGTTGAAGGCAATGTTATGTGGAAGAGTAAGAGGACCTGCCTTCACATTCCCGCCTTAAGTTCCTGCTTGGTCTTCCCTCAAGGATGGGCTGTGACCTGGAATTATAAGCTGAATACACTTTGCTGTCCTCAGTTACTTTTGTCACAGCAACAGAAGGAAATTAGACCACTCCTCATCTCTGTCCCAAGGCCAAGTGTGTGTGTATGTGTGGTCATGTCAGTGGGAGGTCAGAAAACAACGCCATTTTTAGTTCTGGACAGGGTCTCAGGGCAGCAGCCCCAGTCTGATCTGAGTGTTCTAGACATGGGGGCTGCCCGTGAGGTTTGCTAACAGTGCCCATGAGAGCTGGGAGCTGACTTAGTCACACTACTCACTTTCAGGAACTTCGTAGAAAACAAACTCAGAGGCTTCGATTCCCTCCTAGCTTCCCACACCCATACAAGATCAGGATGACACAGCATGTTTTGAAAGATCTTCTCAATTTCTTCCCACCCTGATGCCCTGGAAAAGCACCCAAACCTCAGAGGCAAACTGAATGCAGCACCATGAGAACTAAGAGTTGCCCAGCAGGCAGCTCAAGTCTGAACCCCCAAAGTGATAGGGGTTCTATGGGAGAGAGCACTAGGGTGAAGGAAAAATCCATAAAAGCTGTTTGTGTGTAAAATTAGAAACCCTAGGGAGTGAAATGAAAATGTGTTGTCACAGCTCCACTGTGATATGGTATTCAAGGACTTAAGGGTACCTGTGGAAGACCTCAGGTAAGGGTGTCAGGGTGATCAGACATCAGGCACTATGTAAAATTTTCACTTAGCATCCTTCTGGTCTGGAATGCAAAACTTCACCAGGGCTCTGGGGATGTGCTAAGGGCAGCAGGGCTCTATGCTGAGAACACCCCACATGCCAAGAAAGACCCCTCTTGCCAACAGGACACTGAGGCGCGCAATCAGAGCCTAGCAGTACCGCCTACTCCATGAGAACATGTAACCCTGCTGTACCCAAAAACTAACCTGAGAAACCAGCAACTGGAAACCATACCATTTGGATTTCAGCCCTCTTTAAGACTATCACCTTGGGCTGCCACACAATGCAGAAGCCGGGAGAGTGTCACCCCCACCTTCTAACAAAGGGAGCTGCCCAGTCTTGTTTATGTCTTCAAGCCCTATGCGTTTATTCTTTAGTCCGTCTGATACCCAAGATTCCAAGAAAACCAAAACCTGGACATCGAAGGAAACAAGATGATGTGACAGAACATGGATATAATTCTCAATGCAGACCAAAGGGAGAAGCCATGGTCAACACAGAGAAGGGCTCTGTCCCTGACCACCCACCCCAATCCTTGGGCACTTTTCCCAATCCTTCACCCACAGGACAAAGCCAAATATGTCATGAAGGCCAGAATCCTGCTGCCCCTGAGGATTCAGTACAGTTAGTAGGAAGATACAAGATATCCCTAAACCATTGTGGACTGGAGCTTCAGGAGGCAGGGAGCCCAAAAGACAAGGTTTCATAAGTTTCAGGGGGCAGAAAGACTGCTAGAGCATGGTGGTAGGGGATCAGCCTGGCTGCCAAAACACACAAAGTTATCTCTGAGCCACCCTGTGATACCCAAGGTAGCACTATACAGAAAACGAGGTTAACTGTGGACACTAGGCCTCCTCCCTGCGGCAATCCTCCTCTCTCTCAAAACAGATCCCCTTAATCCCTGGATCCCCTACAGAGCTGTCCTATCACTGGGCATGGCCCCCATATTCCCTGAAGCCCCCCTTTGCCAGAGCTATCCTGGATCTGGCACTTAGAGAACCCAGGACCATCCTGGTAAAATGAACAGAAACCCTGAAGCAAGTATGTTTCTGTTGACCTGGAGCCAGAGGAGTCCCACAGACTGGTCAGCCCAGGCTAGCATAGGCACGGAAAGCTGCATGGTGGTATAACACATTATGCACATGTCATCACAGCTGGGCCAAAGTCAGACCTATCAGGTGGACCCAGGTAAGACCCACAAGAGCACAGGAGATACCCAGCTAGACTGGGAAGACCCAGATCAGACCTAGCAGGGCACAAACTGGACTCAGGTGGACCCATACGGCACAAGGGAGATTTAGTCAGGCTTAGATGGAGACAGTGTCCACAGGTTTAGAGTCCTACCTTGGAAGAAGCTCTTCACCCTGAGGTAACTAACGCTGAGGCGCAGGACCGAAAGCTTGTCCAGCTTGGAGATGATGTCAGGTGGAAATGGTAGCAGGCTGGCCAGGTGGTCCAGCTCTGTGTTGAGGCGGTCCCGGTGCCGTTTGGAAGGATTTGATTTCTCAGCCCCCATGGTAAGCCTCCTGTGGGAAAAAGGCCTTAGTCATATAGGGTCCCACCAGGAGCCACTGGCCCAGCAGGCAAGCAACCATTCTCTGTGGTGACCTTACTGGGACATTGAAGCTGCTGCCCAGACAGAAAATGTTTAAAGAATCAAAGATCACTCCTTGGTTGTGGGACAATGTTTTTGTGAAGATGTGTTGCTCTCATTGGTTTAATAAAGATCTAAATGACCACTAGCTAGGCATGAAGAGGTTAAGCTTCACTTGCAGACAGGGAGAGAGCTCTCTGGGATGCAGAAGGGTAGAGTTGCCAGCCAGACACAGGGCATGTACAAGATGAGGAAACAAGCCATGAGCCACATGGAAACAAGTAGATGGATAGAAATGGGTTAATTTAAGCCATAAGCACTAGTTAGAAACCAGCCTAAGCTATCAGTAGAGCATTTGTAATTAGTAATAAGTCTCTGTGTGTTTTTTGGGAGCTGGCTGGTGGAACAGAATAGTCTGCCTACACTCCTTCTGGAAGATGCATACCGAGGAACTGAAAAGACACACTAGTTAGCTATAAGCTAATATTTAGAGGGACGTGTGAAAAGTCTCAGTCAAGGATGAAGGACAAGGCTACTGCTGCATTTCTCAACCCTTCTGTGACAGGTTTCCTGAGAAGGGAGAATACCTGGCTAGGGCTGTCTGGACAAGAATGTGCATGGAAAAATATACTTTTATTTAACGTCCTTCAAAATCTCACAGCACCTAGCCCAAACCTAATATACCACAGGAAAAATACAAGTTCCCAGGCTAGAGTGGTGATAGCTTCCTGATCCATCAGCAATCCAAACAGTTCTTGGTCTATTTTTTTTTTTTTTGGTTCCCGGAACAATGAATTGTAGTTCAAAATTCAGACCTGAGAGTCCACACGTCTAGAAGAGGACACCAAGACCAGCCAGACATCACAGACAAGTTCTCAAAGTCAAAGCCTCCAGAGCCCCACCATCCTTTGTCCACCAGTTCACATAGCTCAGGGAACCTGCCGACTCGTAGATAGTTTCACCTGGCCTCAACTACCTGCCTGGAGAGGGGGCCTTCAGCGTCCCTTCACCTAACCTCTTAGGTCTCCCTCTTCTGACCCTCTTAATTGTGGCACAGAATAACCAAACCTTCCTAATTCTTTGTTGTCAGTGTCACCCACACTATGTCTCTAGAAGAGACAGCAGCAGCCAGAGTGGATCCAATGTCGGAAAGGTTAGGAGAGCAAAAAGGCTCCGTACTGGCAGATCTGCAAAAAGCAGCCATCTGCTTCAGCAGCCTAACACTTTCCGGGGTCTCAGGGAATCTCAGATTAGAGGCCCCTCTGGGTTTGAGAAGTTGTCCAATAGCCCAAATTCCCCAGTTTTCTGACAGTGTCTGGCAGCATCAAAGCCAGGAGCTGTTGCTTTTTAAAAGTGAGATCTATCTAGCACAACATAGTCAGTCCTTTAAAAGCAGCCAGCCTCCTTCATTTGCCGGTCATGACACTGCACATCTCTCCTTGGCCTAAAGATTTTTACTGATCAAAGGGAAGTTCCTCCCTCATGTGTGTTTTTCTCCTAAGCTCCTTACTTTTGTGTTTGAAACTGCTGACCTGCTTGCTACCCACGTGGGCTGACCTGTAATGGGTATTTCATCCGAATGTGCAGAAACACGAGTAACGGTGCTCCCACCCGACTAACCGCCTCCACAAAACAGGGTGCTTCCACGATGCGTTCACGTTGCAACGTGCATTTTGCTTCTTCATTCTTTTTTCATGGCTGAATAACATTCAGTACATAAATGGACCGCATCTTGCTGATCTTGCAACAACTAACCACTCTGGTGGTTTTCCACTGACGATCCCTGTGAATATGGCGGCTCTGAGCAGTCACTCAGGAGACTCTGCCTGAACACGTGCGACCGGAATTGCTGGACCTGTGTGACTCTTTGCTTTGCATTTTGAGGAGTCACTGGGCTGTATTCTGCACGTCTGCACCATTTCACAGACTCACCAGTTTCTCCACGTGCTTGTCTACACTGTACCGTTCCATTTTTACTACAGTCAGTGGATACAAGGTACTAGCTATGATTTGCACTTCCCTGGTGATTTGCCGTGCTGTGAATCTTCTCCTGTGCCTGCTCATTCACAAATCGTCTTTGAGAAGTGGCTATCCAGTCCTTTGACGCTCTTCAATTGGGCTGCCTTTGGTTTTGAGTTGTAAGAGTTATTTGTATGTGTGTTAGGTCTTCATCTGATACATGACTCACAAATATTCTTTCCTCTCTAGGGTTGTTCTTAGTTGTCTGTCTACTTCCATATTATTTTAAATTGCCAGCCAAAACTGAAATAGACTGGCAGAGAAGGCCTGCCACAAACTAGCAAGGAGTCCACTCTGTGAATGACAGATACCTGAGGACTCCCCACAAAACCAAGGGGACACCTGATGGGCAGATAGGGGTATGGTTAGAACCATGGAGGTGCTGAGTAGTGAGGAGACAGCAAAATCGTGGTGGGCTGGGGCATGTATAGGCACTTGGAAGAGAGATTTAGGATCCAAAGCAGTGTCTCTATGTAGTAGAATCTTGCCTAGCCAGTGAACTTATAGCAATGGCCACACCCTTTGGGTGTGGTTTCAGGTGCAGATGTGACCCATAGTAAGGTAGAGGAAAGGCTGGCTCGCACTCTCTTGGGTTCTGAGAGCATCGGAAGGGCAGAGACTTCATCTTCTGCAGCAGGAAGACCACGGAGGTTATTTACTCTTGTCTGTGTAAATTCTTCCCCAGTAAACACCTATTCATCATTTTTCTCAGGTCTGGTGAACTCATGTAAACCCCTGCCTTTATCTCTATCTGGGTGTTGGGTCCACATGGTGCTGTGTGCTCAGAGATCAGGTCTGTCCCCTTTACCATGGCTCTGGGCTCACTCAAGGACCTACCCAGCCTCAGGCATGTGTCTTTCCATTCACATTCTCCAACTCCAGTTATTTCCGCATACTGGGAATTTCTCAGCTGAGCAGAGACTCCCTAAGACATAAACCCAGCTTACTTTAAACCTCCATCTAGATCTACGGTAGAGGTGTCCTTGTCTCTCCATGCAGGATGCCTACACTAGCTCCAGCCATGACAATCAGGTCTTTCTATACAGAGCACATGAAGGGTGCAGCTTGCAGTAAGCTGGGTCCTTGCACTCCAAGCCTCTCTATCAGGCTCAGGGTGATGTTGTGCCAAGATCACAGTATACTTTGCTTTCTTCCTCTGGCTTTTAGGATACCAAGACACCCCTCACTGCTACCTATACTCTGCACTCTACTTCTCAATATCAGCTCCATGAAGCAGATGGTAGCCTAAGAAAGGATAGATGGTCAGGAGGGACAGTCCATGTAGAAAGAAAACAGTCCTCGTGGCTTGTGGTAAGTTCAAACCCAGGGCAAATGTGGAGTCCAGGGTAGAATTCTCACTGACTCCAGGGAGAGAAACAGCAAGACGTGAGTAGTGGCTCACTCAAGATGACCAGCAGCACAGAAGTAAGAAGTAACAAGGGAAAGAAGCAGTAAGTCAGCTCCGCTGAACAAAGTCACAAGTTAATTGTGGATTAACTTAACAAGAGATATCCAGGACATGCAGACAAAACTATAAAGTGTCACTGATAAAAATGTAATGAACCTAAGTAAATGGAAAGATATATCAAGTTCTTAGGTTGGAAAATAAAATATTGTTAAGATGTAACTCTTCACCAAATTGATCTACAGATTCCACTAAAATTCCAACATAGATGTTAATATGATTATAAAATTGATTCTCACATTTATATGGAAATCAAAGAACCTAGAATAGTCAATTAAAAAGATCACACCAGGAGGACTTACCTCCTGCTTTTAAGCCTTCCATAAAGCTCCAACATTAAGATGTATTAGTATTAGAGAAATCAGAAATACAAATCAGTGGAAAAGAATAGAGAATCTACAAATAGACCCGCATATTCTTCATCAAGTCAATTAACTAGCCCAAGATACTAAGTGCTTCTGGATCCACTGGGTAACCATAAAAACAGTAAATGCCAGCACTTACCTCCCACAGTACCTCAAGATGAACTCTAAATGAATCACAGACCCAAATGTAAAACCGAATATGAAACTTTATGGGAAAACATGTGCAAGAATCTTTGGGTAGTCGTGGGCCTCTTACAATAACACACACACACACACACACACACACACACACTAAACTTGTCTTCATCAAAAGTTCTTTAGATTACTTTTCTTTGAGACAGAGAATCATTATGTAACTAACCTAGGCTGGTCTCATACTCATGTCCCTGCTTCAGCCTTTTGAGTATAGTAATTATAGGTATACCACTATGCTCAGCTTAAAATGTCTGGTGAATGTATAGATGTGTATATTTGTGTGTGTGTGTGTGTGCGTGCGTGTTTATTAACTGGTGCAAATGTAAGGAGAAGACAGAGATTGATAATCAGGCTTGTCTACCTTAATTTTTGTGACATAGTCTCTTGCTGAGCTTGAAACTTACTGTTTGGACTAGACTGCCTGGCCAGGAAGCCTCTGAGATATAACTGCTTCCCTGCCTGCAGCTCTGAGGTTACAGATGAGTATTGCCATGATCAGATTTTATGCAGGTGCTAGGGAAATGGAGTCATGTCCTCATTGCCATTTCCCCAGCCTCCAAAATATCCTTTGAAAATCAGTATTAGAAAGATGAAAAAGTTATCAAAGGCTGGAATAAAATAACCACAAGTACTTGCTAGAGTATATAAAGAGTTCTCATGACATAATGAAACAACCACAAAAGAAAATAGGCAAATTATTTGAACGCTTTACCACAGAAACTGTGTGGATGAAAAGAAAGCCCATAAATATATATATATATGCAACATCATTATTCCTGAAGTCAATACAGAGAAACCCTGAAACTCTACCAACCCATGAAAGTGGCTGAAACAAAAAACTGGCAATGCAAGCACTGGAGAGAATATGGAGGGGTCTATGCCATGCTTCACTGTAGCTGGAACATAAGAGAATGCAAAGACTATAGAAAATGGACTGAGGTTTCTGGGAAAGATAAGTACACTGTTATGCAGCAACTGCCTCTTTAGGTGTTTACCCAAGAAGAACAGAAGTACCCAGCTCTCAAAGAATCGCTGTAGAACATCCACAAAAATTTTAACAGTCCCCAAACAGGGGACAATTCAGATGTCCACCTAACTTGGAATATCCCCACAGCAGAGAATATAAAAAAAATAAAGGAATCAGCTATTGATGCACAAACTCAGAGGAATCCCAGAGTCATTATGCAAGTCAAAAGCTCCAAAAAATGTCATTCCATTATACAAGACACAAGAAGAGAAAATCTACAGTGACAGGAAGTGGGGCAGAGGCTGCCTGGGGACAGAGGTGGTAGGGACAGCTAAGTTCAAAAGGAGACTTTTGGAGTGGCAGAATGTTTGGGTCTTGGCTACTGACGATTTCATGGGCAAAAGCTGATCAAGCTGTAAACTTTGTCAGTGTAACTGACATGCGTGTACTTCAATTATACTCCAGTAAAGGAAAAGCTGATGTGGACCAGTGAGATAGCTCAGTTGGTAAAGACACTTGATGCCAAGCCTATTGGCCTGAGTTTGATCCTGGGGACCTATATAATGGAAGGACAGAACTGAATTCCATACGTTGTTCTCTCTCTCTTACACACACACACACACAGACACATAAACACACATGTACACACACATACACAAACACACACACATATGCATACACAGACATATACACATACACCATACACTCACACAGATATACACACACATACATACACACACTCACACAGACATACACACACACAGACACACATACACATACACACACACACACACACACACACACACCTATTTTAGTGGGGGAGGAAAAGAAAAACAGATAAAGAACCAGGGGCTTGAGTACCACAACCTCCTCATTGTCATGAGATGAAGACATTGTTCCTGGGAAAGACTCAGGGATCCTACAGGATGAGATGGGGAACAAAACATGGTTCTGGTAACACCAGGTATTCGTTCCTGGGAAAAGTTATGGATTCAGAAATACCCATAGCTACTAGGTAGAACTTAGGGTTGTGAAGAAAAGAACACTCATACAAAATTACTTGCCACTTACAGCATGCAGGTGACACCAACATCAGGCTGCCTGTGTTTACCCACATTCCTTTGCTCCCTGGATAAAGGTGGAAAGGTGTTGACTGACGACATGTGTGCTGCAAACCTATGCTGCAGCTGGAGAACACCACAGAGTTAATGGACAGCAGAGGTCCGAGATAACACCTTGTAAAGCACACTGCACATCCTCAGGGTGTACAGCAGGGAAAGCGCCTGAGCACAGAAGAAAGACACACCCACCGCAAGGATGTCCCAGGAAGCATTCACAGACAGTGCTAAAAGCAGATGCTTCTTGAAAGAGGGCAGGGTGTGGACACAGTCCCTGGGTTGTGAACCAGACGCGCTTTCTATCTTTCCAGAGCATCCATAAATCAAAATGCCAACTGGATATGGTGGTGCTTGCCTTTACTCTTAGCACTCAGGAGGCAGAAGCAGGCAGATCTCTGTGAGTTCAAGGCCAGTCTGGTGTACATAGTGAATTCTGGACCAATCATGGCTACATAGTGAGACCCTGTCTCAAAAACAAATGAAACAAAATAAAATGTAAGTATCCAATGCCTCAAACATGGCCTCACTTTTGCTTTGGAGTAAGAATATTATGTAGACAAAAAAAAAACTCAGTCTCTTTCTGCAGATACTACTGCTTCAGCTAAGTGACAAAGTTATTTTCTTATTTATATGATCAATATTATGTAAACAAAATCCCTGTCACAGAGGAGCACATTTCTTCTTCTTTTTTTTTCTTGGTTTTCCAAGACAGGGTTCTCTGTGGCTTTGGAGGCTGTCCTGGAACTAGCTCTCGTAGACCAGGCTGGCCTCGAACTTACAGAGATCCGCCTGCCTCTGCCTCCCGAGTGCTGGGGTTAAAGCCGTGCGCTGCCTGGCTGAGGAGCTCATTCCTATGCTAATCTCATGGGCCTTACCCTCTCTTGAGTGTACTCAGCTTTCCTCCCAGCACTCACTTCTAATCAAAGACCCATACCCCAGCCTATCTCCAGCCTCACTGTTCGGTGGCTCCAGTCTCCAAATAACCACCTTCAAAGTCCAGCCTCACACTCAGAGCAACCTCAGCTTCTTGTCAGTGCTTGGATCCACATGGTCTTAAATCTACACAGGATCTTGTAGCCCTGGAGGCCAGCAGGGGTAGCTCTATCACAACAAAGAGGGTACACCTGGAAAGAGCTGCTGAGGGGTGTTCCATCAACACTCTGTTGAGTCCCAGTCTCACGTATAGCTGTATCATACACCAGCAGTGTCACATATCCACAACATCTAAACCCCTCTCGGTCTCTGTCTCTGTCTCTGTCTCTGTCTCTGTCTCTGTCTCTGTCTCTCTCTCTCTCTCTCTCTCTCTCACACACACACACACACACACACACACAACCACAGCCCACAGATGATGATGCACACAGCAGATTCTGCACCAGTGGCCAGAGGCAGCCTGTGGACTTCTTGTGGAAGCTGTAACTCAGCTGGTTTCCTGGAAAGTGTGCTAAGCCCTGGTTTTGCTGGAGCCGCCACACACCTCTCACTTTGACCACTCTGTGGGCTGCAGGTTAAGCCCAGGACTGGCAGAAAGACCACAGACAAGGATGACTGTATACCTGAGGGGCGGTGGGTCTGAGCCCTGAGCCCCCCATCTCTATACCTTCAGAGACCTTCGGTGGGGACAATGCACCCCAAGGAGGCTCTGTCATTTGCAGTGTGAGACCTAAACCTTAGGACACTTCCCACAGACAGAATGACTCATTGCTGAAGAGAACAAAGGTTCCAAACATACTAGTGACATATGCCTCACCCAGAAGAGACCTCCACCAATTCCAGCCAGTGCTTTGTGTCTAAGTCAGAAAAGCTACCTAAAGTAAACTTGCCTGCTAAAGGAAGCCACTCACACTTGCATGAGACCTATAGGCCACAGTGACCACGCCTCTCAGGAAGGTTCTCCAAAGCCTACCTTATACTGTGTTTGCCTATAACATCCCCTCTCCTCGGGAAGGCACAGTGTGTCCCTTACTCCCCAGGGATATCAGGATGGAGGGCATGATACTCTACCGCTTCTGAATGGGTTTCTTTCTCTTTCTACCGGCATATGTACACTCTCCAGATGGAATCATCATCTTTGATCCTAAAAAAGAAGGGGACATTGAGTTAATCACACAAAGAGACCCTGTGTGACATCCCATGTGCCTACTATAATGACCCAAAGCAGGAAGGGGGTCTGTCAAGGCCCGCTGGCCCTCGTGCAGGTTAGCCCTGCAGGCTGGAGTACTCACATAGTATTAGAGCACTATTGAAAACAAGGTGATGGCCTGTAAAGACCTCTATCATTTTTACTCTGAGCAGAATTGTTGCACAGGTTGTGGAGCAGGGTGCATGCTACTGAGCCTCAAGGAGCTGTTGTTTTCAGGATCATACGATCTACTTATCTGGGCAGTCCATCCTGCACCCACAGGCCCACATGGTTAACACCCTCCACACTCGTGTGTATTATTTCTTCTCAGTTCTATGCACTGGACTTCCACTATGGTCACTCATGCTCAGCCAACTCCAGCCCAACCAAAAGTGTCCTGTGGTGCTAAACACACACTTATGCCTCCCACAGAAGTCACTGAAGCATCCCAGTACATGCACCTCATCAAATGTAAGTACCCACTTTCATGTCGTAGAATCTTGATATTTCTAGTAGTGAGGACATCCGAGCCTTCACAAATTCCCTTAGACCCCTGTTGCAGCCCCATGCCTCAGTCGCCTGAGAATGTAAATAGATAGCCCTGATTTGACCTCCTGTGTGTATCATCTGGAAGAGGCACCATTTCTATACTTGGAAGTGACAGTGAAGCCGTCAGAACTGTGCAACTGATATCCTTTGAGGACTAAGAGGGGCAGGCAAAGAAAAAGAAAACTCATAGGAAGGATCTTCCACACAAACACTAACCACACACCTGGAGTAGCAACCAAGGCGTAAGACAAAAGAATGTCACTAGGGACAAAGAAAAACTAACAAAGTTGCCAAGTTTTAGAACATGGTTTATCACAGGTACTGATAAGATTCTCTAGGTGATCAGTTGTGGTGAGAGATCTATGATCAGCGCCACAGGTGCCTCTGGTAGATCTCTCACTGCAATCAATAGAAATAAATAGGACATCAGTACAGAATTCACAAACGATAGCTGACTGTAACTCAGGAGAGTACAAAACATATCCTTCAGCACCATCAAAATACACATTAGTCCTGTGCCCATGGGACATATACCCAGACACACTTTACTGTAAAATTTATGTACTCCTAATGAATCCTAAAATGACAGATACCTTACAAAGTGTGTTTTCTGGTGTAGTGGAATTAAGCTTGGAAAACTTGCAAGTATTTGGAAAGCAAAGAATTCATTATTTTAAAAACATATTTAGAAATTTGGCTCTATTTTCTAAATATTAAGCAACCTAGATGCCCCTCAACTGAAGAGTGGATAGAGAAAATGTGGTACATTTACACAATGGAGTATTACTCAGCAGAAAAAAACAATGGAATCTTGAAATTCACAGATAAATGGATAGCACTGGAAGAAACCATCCTGAGTGAGGTAACCCAGTCACAAAAAGACAAACATGGTATGTACTCACTCATATATGGATTTTAAACATGGATCAGGAGAGTGCCAGTCTGCACTTCCACTGACAGAGAGTCTGGGAAACAGGAAAGAACCTAAAAGACATAAATGGTACCCAAGAGAAGAGAAATGAGGCAAGATCCTCTGAACAGATGGGGAACACGGCGAGGGGTGGCGGGGGGGGACGGGGACCTGGGAAATAGAGAGATGGAGAAGTGGAAGAGAGAGTAGGACGTGGAGGAACAGGAAGGTGGACTGGGGGGGTTGGATAGAGGGAAGAGGGAATCATAGGTTAGAAGACAGATCAGGCACCATTGTGACCTCTAGTGATCTAAACGGATGACACCAATTGACAAGCTAAGCAATAGTGTAGAGACCACCTCGAACGCCTATTCCTGATAGTGAACTTGATGTCTATAACCATCCTGGAGCCTTCATCCAGTGACTGATGGAAGCAGAGGCAAACACCCACAGTTAAATACTGAACAGAACCCAAGGAACCCAGCGACAGAGAGAGAGGAGCGAAGAGCAAATTGGCAAAGAATGGGCTGGCAAAACCAGCAGAGACAGCTGATCTGAACAGGGGAGAGCTCTTGGACCCCAGACCGACAGCTGGGAGGCCAGCATGAGACCGATCCAGACCCCCTGAATGTGAGAGTCAATGAGGAGGCCTGGGCTACCTATGGGGTCCTGAGCTGTGGATCAGCGTTTATCCCTCGAATACTAACAGACATCGTGTGTTCATAACACAAAGAGGGTTGCTCTCTCTGCCTGGACTCTTAGGGAAGTGCCTGGACCCTACCCTAATGAAATGATAGACTCTAGATATCCCCTATGCGGAAGGAATTGGCAATAGGGTGGGAGGATGGGGGGGATGGTTGGGGGGGTGCGGGAGGAGGGGAGGGAGAGGGAACTGGGATTGACATGTAAAACAAGCTAATTAAAATAAAAAAATTTTAATTAAAAAATATATTTAGAAATTAATGAAAACACAAACATATCAAACTTCGTGAGACAGAGCAGAAAGTGCTTGTTAGAAAAAATAAAATGTATCAAATAAATAAACTGAGCTTTTAACTGAAATAGCTAGAATAGAAAATAAACTTAAATCAAGCAGGGTAGAGACAAGGTAGAAAAGGTATGAAACTTTTTTTTTTTTTTTTGGTTTTTCGAGACAGGGTTTCTCTGTTATGTTTTGGAGGCTATCGGTCCAGCCCAGCCTCGAACTCACAGAGATCCACCTGCCTCTGCCTCCCGGGTGCTGTGATTAAAGGCATGCGCCACCACCGCCTGGCTAAGGTATGAAACTTAAAACATAAAAATGAAGAAAAAATAATGAAACTAACAGTTGGTTCTTAAAAGATCAACAAAATTGGCAAACTTTTATCCAGAATGATCAGAAATATAAAAGATATAGACTACCAGAATCAGAAAGGAAACATTTCTATAGATCCCCAGCATTGAGAAGGCTAGAAGGGGATACTGCTATGTGCTGCACTGTGTCCCCCGAGATTCATATGTTAAAGTTACGACTCTCCACATGGACTTGGGCATGAGTGGGGGTGACTAAGGAAGTGAGGTCATTGGGTGTATCCTGTAGTTCCACGGAGTTGTGCTCTTAGGAGAGGAGCAAAGGACACTGGGACTCTTTCTCTCGCCACTTCAAGAAGACACAGGGAGAGCAAGGCTGTGCACCAGCCAGGAAGATACTCTCACCAGAAACTGAATTGAATAGCATCTTGGTTTTCCATGTCCATTCTCCAGGACTGTGAGGTCTGCTCTTTAATCTGCCCAGTCTGTGACATTTTGCCAAGCACACACCAGGACAAATAATTTCCCCATAAATTCTACAATTTAAATGAAATGCAGCAATTCCTTCAAGGACACGAATTATTAAAACTCACTCGAGAAAAATAAATAACTTAGATAGTTCTATGTCCCAATAAAGAAAACTCAAGCCCAAATAAACTCCCTGATATAATCCACTAATTTAAAATATAAATAAGACCAACTCCATTGCTTCTGGTAGAAAAACTAAACAATATTCGTGTGTGAGTTCAGCCTTGCTCTGCTATCAAAGCAAAGACATTAGAAAATAAGAAAATGTTAAGTCAGTAACCTTTGTGAACATAGATACAGAAATCCTCAAGTAAATATTAGCAAACAGAGTCCAGCAATACAAAATACATCAGGCCTCAATGGAATTTATCCAAAAAAGTCAATGTTTTTTTTAATTCTCAAGAATAAATCGCTACAATTCATTATATTAATATTAGTAAACTAAAGAAAATATGATCATCTTAATACCTACAAAAATCATCTGGTAAAACCCAAATCCAATTATGATCACTAAAAACCTCACCTGAAACTATGGATAGAAGGAATGCAAGGAACTCGATGAAGACCATTACCAAAATGCCTTCAGTTAACATCCTACCTAGTGGTGAAAGATCCAGTCGTCCCCCACAATCAGGAGCAAGCACATTTGTTGTATTTCTCTACTCTTATTACACATCGCATGTGTACTAGCCAGAGAAATAAGGTAAGAAAAACTATAAAAGTTATAAAACTTGGAAGAAGTAATTCAAACTTCATCTCATCACAGGCAATGTGATAGTATATATAGAAAATCCTCCAAAAAACAAAAAACACTTTTGAAAAACCTCCTGCAATCTGGCTTTGGTGGCACATGCCTTTAACCCCAGCACTGGGGAATCAGAGGTAGGCAGTTCTCTATGAGTTCAAGGCCAGCCTGGCATGCATAGCAAGGTCTAGGCAAGCCAAAGTTATGTAGTGAAATCCTGTCTCAAAACAAACAAGCAAACAAACAACAAAAAAACCCTTCATATAATTGACTATAAGTTAAGCAACATCAAAGAGCAAAAGTACAATATACAAAAGTTAATCATACAACTATATCCTGGCAATAAATCAATGGAATTTAGGGTTTTTTAAAGCTATAACCTTTAAAATAACACACAAGTGAAAATTAAATAGATATTTCTAAAGTCCTGATGTGTAAGTGGGCCTCTAAAGAACAGCAAAAGTTAAAGGGTTATCAGAAAAAATTAATAACTACAGATCCAAGAGGCTCAGTGAATCCCAAGGACAAATAACACAAGGAATATTACAATGAAGTATCCAAATTGCTTCATAGTCAAATAGATGCTCATAATCTGTGACAAATAGAATAATTTGGGGGGGTTCAAGACAGGGTTTCTCTGTGGCTTTGGAGGCTGTCCTGGAACTCGCACTGTAGAACAGGCTGGCCTCGAACTCAGAGATCCACCTGCCTCTGCCTACAGAGTTCTGGGATTAAAGGCGTGCGCCACCAACGCCCGGCTCAAATAGAATAATTTTAAGAACCAAATGCTACAGTATTTGATACAGTAAAGCTCAACAATAAAAGATAGCAACCGATTCCTCGCCTGAGAGAAGACAAGTGGAAAGATCCAGAAGCAACCAAGTTAAAGCTCTTAAAGAAAAGATGATAGAACTTAGACTTCTACATAGTGTA